CCGGCTGCAATGCGGACTGGGTCATCACATTCGGCATCTTCGTTGAACTATGTCGATTGGGACCCCATCTTCAAATTTTGAAACGCGCCGGGTCATGGTGCCGCCTCTGCCGGCACCTCCACCGCGCGAAACACCGGGCGCGCGCGGCATCTGCGAAATGCCGCCCATGCGCGCAAGATGTCCGACAAAGCGACGTAGACGCCCGCGTCTTCTGTTTTCTGCGAAGTCACCCGTGTCTTCCACGAGGGCGCGGCCAGTCCTGTAAAGAGGCCTCCAGAAAACGCCCAATTTTCCGGCTCGCCACGGCGAGCACGGGCAATATCTGACGCGCGCTTTGCTGACCAACTGTTGGATGTTTGTCGTCGCTCTTTGGTTGGATCCCATGTTCCAGACCCACAGAGCAGATTGCCTCAAAATTTGCGAGCCCAGCCCAAACCTCCTCCTTCGGTGAGCAAGCATGTCCGCGCTTGAGGACCGATATCCAAGGGTATTTTGCCTTGTCCGCCTGCTGGATTCGAAGCTCCACGCTTGTCCCGATCCCCCCATTGAAGCCAATGGCACGTCCGACGAAAATGATCGAATTTTGACCGAGGGATCCCTGCGTTCGCCGTGGCCAACGAGACTCCAGGAATCCGCGGCCAAGAACTCCAGTGGGTCTTCTCCGCTCAGGCGTCGAGCCCTGCTGCAGAAGACGCCACGGTTACTTCCGCCAACATGGTTTGGGTTTCCGAAAAGTTGTTGGCGGCCCCCAGAAATGGTGAGCAAAATCGACTGCAGCAAGCTAGAAATTGTCAAAACACAAGCCCTTTCCCGGATATCGCCATTTCGACAGCAACTGCCGCAAAACCATGCTTGTGACCATGATGAACAACAAATGGCGGTGCTAGTGCGCACCCTTGAGTTGTATAACTGTGATGATAGCCGAATGCAGCAGTCTGTCAAACGCCTTCTCCACATCCAGCTGCATGTGATATGATTGCCACATTCGCGGCTCAACTAAGCAGCGCGTTGAACGGCAAACGCTCCCTGAGAAGCATGAGTACCTGAGACGAACCGAGTCTGGAACGACTCCAATCGCAACGGTGGTAACACCTGCATCCAGAAATCCGCCGATATGGCGTGTGAGCTACAAGGAACCTCAACAAAAGTTTCAGCTCTGAGCCTAAGCAAGAACCTCAGCCCCGCTTGGAGGGGTCGGCGGGTTGGCTCTGCCGGGTAAGGGAAGGGGGGGACGGGGGCGGCCTTCCATCTGGCGTTTTGAATGATTTGCGCATGCCCAATTTTTTTCGGTTTCCCCGGACCCCCCACCCCCGAGGAAAGGCCCGGTGAAGGGGGGGAGGGGGGGGGGGCGGTGCCCATCCGGCGTTTTCTTTATGATTTGCGCAACCCCAAAATGTCCCGGGGGGTCCCAGGGACCCCCTTCAGATCTAGCCGCTGCCGCCTCCGGGTCCCTCCCCTCGGAACCCTCCCCGGACCTCCCCCGGGATCGCTCCGGGCACCCCTTCCAGAGGGCACGTCAGCTCCAAAAAGCGCCCCCGACACGTCAGCTCCAAAAAGCGCCCCCGACGGCCCAAAAGGCGCACCCCTCCACCATCACCGCCACCACGACCATCATCATCACCATCATCATCACCACCATCATCATCACCATCATCAACACCAATCTCATCAACAACATCATCATAATCGGAATGGAAACCGTCATCGTCATCGTCATCATCATCACAACCAGCGAAGACGGAGAGGGTAGCGAGCACGCGAAGCAGAAGAGTCAGCGGGAGGCAGACGATAACGAGAACTAGGGAGAAGAAAGAGGACTGGAAGAATCGAGGAGGGAGGAGGCCACAGAGCCGCGAAGATCACCGTATCCAAAGCCCCCCAGATCGGCGGCACTGACCGGAGGCCACTACAATTGCCCAATCTATTATTGGCCGTCACAAGCGATGAAATGCTTCAGACTTTCGCCAAGCTTGCCGGGCTGCACGCCTTGGGAGGCAAAACTGCCATCATGCGCACGCACGCATCCTCGTCCTCGTCCTCGTCCTCGTCCTCGTCCTCCTCCTCCTCCTCCTCCTCCTCCTCCTCCTCCCCCCTTTCCTCCTCCCCCTTATGCAGGCGTCACCCACGGTGTTTTCTCACCAAGATTTCGAGGGGAACCCAGCCGTGGCGACAACGAGAAGGCAGCAGCTTCGGTACTTTCTCCCGTTCCGACCCCTGCGCTGTCCAACCCCGACGTCGCCTCCGAACAGCGGCGACACACAAGAGTGAGCCTGGGTGAAAGTGATCTTTGGTGCGCAGTTTTCCTGGGGACGCTTGGGGGCCAAACACAAGCGCGCAAGCCGCTGCTGCCGTTCCGCGCTCGGCGATCGGGGGACCCCACTGGGCCCACACCAAAGGTCACTCCCGTGAAAGGTCACTCTGACGCGCAGCCCAGAAAAGGGGGCGACGATGGGCGCGAATAGCCCAGGGGAGAGCAATACATGTATCCAGGGGTGCTGGTCCGTGCCTTCGGCGAGGATCCTGGGCGAATACGTGTAAAACCCGCCACTGGGCTATTCGCCCCTATCGTCGCCTCCGAAAGGAGCGGGGACGCGAGGGCAGCTCACTCCTGTGGCTCTGGCGAGGGGCCGAGCAGCCGCAAAATCCGCTCCTCTCGGGGAGAACGGCCAGGGGCGAGGGCGGGGCCTCCACGGCCGGACTCCGGAGGCGACGCGCCCGCAGAGTTCAGTCGCCTCCTCCTCCTCGTCCCCCCTCTGGAGCCAACAAACGTGTGTAGTGCGGGCCGAGTTGGGGAGGGGGGCACATGTGCACCCTCCCACTGAGACCTTCGCTGGAGCTCCCTACAAGGCCACGAAGCGTGTGAGGGGAGTGCCGAACCGGGCGTGATGCCCACATGCAAACTGCAGCCACTGGGAGAATGGAGCTCACGACGTGGCCACGAAACGTGTGAGGGGTATGACGAAACGAGCGCGACGCCCACATGCGAACTGCTCCACTGGGACCTTCGGTGGCGCGCCCCGTAGGGCCACGAAGCGTGTGAGGGGAGTGCCGGGACGGGCGTGATGCCCACATGCAAATTGCAGCCGCTGAGATCTTCAGTGGAGCTCCCCACGGGGCCACGAAACGTGTGAGGGGTGTGCCGAAACGGACGTTGCGTCCACATGCGAACTGAGCCGCTGGGACCTTCGGTGAAGCTCCCTGAGAGGCCACGAAATGTGTGACGGGTGTGCCGAAATGGGTGCGGGGCCCACATGCGAACTGCAGCACTGGGACCTTCGGTGGGACTCCATACGGGGCCGCGTGAGGGGTGTGACGAAACGGGCGTGACGCCCACATGCGAACTGCGCCACTGGGACCTTCGGTGGAGCTCCCTACGGGGCCACGAAACGTGTGAGAGGTGTGCCGAAATAGGCGTGACGCCCACATGCAAACTGCAGCACTGCTAACTTCGGTGGACCTCCCTACGGGGCCACGAAACGTGTGAGGGGTGTGCCAAAAACGGGCGTTGCGCCCACATGCGAACTGAGCCGCTAGGACCTTCGGTGAAGCTCACTAGGAGGCCACGAAACGTGTGACGGATGTGCCGAAATGGGCGTGACGCCCACATGCGGACTGCAGCACTGGGACCTTCGGTGGAACTCCCTACGGGGCCACGGAACGTGTGAGGGGTGTGCCGAGACGGGCGTGACGTCCATATGTGAACTGCACCACTGGGATCTCGAGTGGAGCTCACTACGGGGCCACGAAACGCGTGAGAGGGGTGTGCCGAAACAGAGACGATGCAGGAATGGGAGAAGGGAGAAGGGGGGAGGAGATGGAGTGGGACGCGGGGCGCTGTCTCTCCAGAGCGAGGACCCAATACCACATGATGACTGGGAATGAAAGCAACGAAGCAACAGCATCGACAACCACAACCGCAACCACAACATCATCAATAGCAACACCACCAACAACAACCTCAACAACAACCTCAACAACAACCTCACCAACAACCACAACAACAACAACAACAACAACACCAACACCAACAACAACATTATCATCATCATCATCAACCTCATCATCATCATCATCATCATCAACAACAACAACAACAACAACAACAACAACAACAACAACAACAACAACAACAACAACAACAACAACACAACTCATTGTAATAATGCTCGTTCGTATCTGCTCGCGTGCCACGCAACACGTATATCCCAAACTCTCGATGCCCACCGTCTCCGTCTTCGATCGTACCCCCTGAGGGGTTATATTCCTTACCTGCAACGCGTATTTTGCGCAGCACCCATGGCAAGGACAGAAAGGACAGATGGGAGGAAGGGACAAGACGGAGAGAGGAGGATGGAGCATGATAGAGAGTAGCAGCACAGGGGGCTAGGAGCAGAAAGCACGTCGCAGAACCAGAAGGGCAGATCGGGCGGGTAGACCCTCACAAGCGGGCGCAGGCAGCCAGGTCGAGCAGGCGGGTTGCTGACGCGTGCGTCCTGCATGAACCGCGAGGAAGCCTGGAGCGACAGCGCGAATCCAGAATAAACCTCGTGATGACATCAAAAGCGAGAACGTAATTCCTGAGTGTCGAAGGCGCAGCGCCTGAATCAATTGTGAGGAAGTCCCAAGCGACAGCGCGATTTTTGAGTGTCGAAAGGGGGTCGCCTGAATACATTGCGAGGAAGTGGCAGGCGAGAGCGCGATGTTTTCTCTTCTATCGAACATTAGGCCACTTCGGCCGCGATGCACGCATCAGGGAAAAACGCGTGCCTACAAGCGAGGCACGGCTTGAAACAGCCGTGCGCGGCCGCCTGACGCCAGAGCGGGCGTGGCCCGGAGGCCCAGGCCACTTGGGCAGCGGGGAGCGCACGCGCCAGCCAAAAAACCGCAGTGCAGTCGTCGTCGTCGTCGTCTGGTTCGTTCCCCGTCGTCGTCGTCGCCGCCGTCGTCGTCGTCGTCGTCGTCGTCGTCGTCGTCGTCGTCGTCGTCTTCGCTACCCTAAATCACGGCTCGCCCCTCGGCTTGCCGTGGGCCTCGGCCCCCTGCCTGGTCGGGGCCCTCCTCCTGCCGCGCCCGCGCTCGACCGTGGCGGCCGGCGCCGTCTCCGCCCGGGACTTCTCGCTCTCGACGCTGGGGGCGCTGGCCCACGCCGTCGACGCCGTCGCCGCCTTCGCCTCATCGCCCCTCGCCTCTGGAGCTGCCGCCGCCCGATCGCCCACTCTGCCGAAGGCCGCGCCGATCACGCTCGGCGGAGGGGCCGGGCGCAGGGTGGCGCCGGTGCCGGGCGCGCCTTCCGGGCCGGCCCGCGGCGCGGCGGCGGGCGCCGAGGGCGGCCTGGGCCTCCGCGGGGGGGCGGTCAGCACGTCCTGGATGTCCTTGAGCGACCTCTGCACTTCCTGAATTGTCAGCATGTTCAGCTTATCGAGGTTCATGTGCGCTTGGCCCTGCAGGCGGGCGATCGTGGACAGCATCTCTTCGGCGTTGACCTGGCCATCCTCCTTGATTCCGAAGATGTCGATCAGTCTATACTTGTTGTACTGGTTTAAAATGAATGTGGACGTCTGGTAGTCGTCATTAACGCCAACGTAGTCGTCAACTTCGATGTCAAGCTGTTTGGGCTCTCGGGCCACAGCAGGGTCTGCGAAAAGGCTGGTCAACTGTTTGGCAGTCCACGTCATCTCGTGAAACGGTGTTTCTGCACCATGAGGGTTTACAGATGGATCTTGACTTTGTTCTAAAGTTGCAGAACTTCGCCAGCCCATTAAGAACAGCGTCCCCTGTCCACATGTTTTTGGTGTTGTACCTGCGCTCTTCTTCCTGGATGCCCGATGTTGAGTCCACGAAAACAGCGGTCACCACATTGAAAATTCGATGATGATGATGTTGGTGTATGGAGCAAACTAACCAAGGAATAGCTCCATTGAAAAAATGACTAATCACCACCATCTGGGCCAGCAGCTGGGCCAGCATGGCGTAGTCGCTGTGCACAAACTTCAGCAAGGATATGAAGTCCCAACTCACAAGCTGCCTTCATCATTCTTGCTCGCATTAAAACAGTCTGAGCCTGGCCGAGAACGATCCAACCAGTCTTTGACGTAACTCTGGGTACACTTGTCCAGGAATTTGCCTGGACGCCATTCGTTGTGGCAACAGTGCCGCGAGCTGCTTGATGGTTTGGGCATACAACCCATATACTTCTGCCAGGTAGAAATATGCTGAGCAACTTCTTCTTGGCGTCTTCCAGGCCTCGAGCTGCATCCATGACGCAATAATCATCTCGGGGATCAAACTCGACACTTAGACCTCGCTGCAAAATGTCACTGCGGGATGAGGTGAGGCGCGCCCAGCTCTCAATCGGTGCACTTGTGTCTGCCTGCCCTCAAGCAGGCGCTTGTTAAAGTGAGAGATGGCATGGGCGACCCACCAGAAAAAAGCCAGGCGCAGACCGAACGAGACCACCAGCTCGCCGAAGTACGCGCCCGTGTCTGCCTGCCCTCAGGCAGGCGCTTGTTAAAGTGAGAGGTGACATGGGCGTCTCACCAGGAAAAAGCCAGGCGCAGACCGAACGTGACCACCAGCTCGCCGAAGTACGCGCCCACGCCAGCACCAGACGATATTATTCGGCCAAAGCTCGCCCGTCCCCGGGTCATGCGGTACCAACAGAACTCCGACCCCAACAAGTCGACGACCCCGCCAACCTGCGCATAGCCGCTTCACAGCGACCCGTGATCCAGTTCACCTTGCTTTCTACTGGTAACTCGTTCCCAAGTGCCCAGTAGTGCACCGCGCCAAAATGGCTGCATGCTCTGTCGCCGCCAACTTTCCCTGGGCAGCTCGCTCTACTGAGCGCTTTTTGCCGCGGTAGCGGCGCTGCGGTATTTGCGTCATCCAGGCGCATAGAATCTGGGCCTTCGGCCCCGGGGTGCTTTCCCCGCCTCTCGAACGTGGAACCAATGCCGTTGGCGCCGTCCACGTCGTCGTAGAGGCCCCCCACATTGAAAATTCCAAGCACCATGAGCACCATCACAATCAAGTAGGTGAGATTGAATGTAAGGCCATAATACTGGCTCATGATAGGTATCAGTGGTTTCCCCTCCGTGTCCGAACATTCCCCCAATATGCATCGGAATACAGTGAACATACATTCCCCAACGGTGCCGCAAAATTCCTGACCGAGCAGTTTGACAGGCGCATCATCATCAGTGCCATCAGCCTTCACCAGCACGCGAATACTCATAGCAATGATTGCGGTGACCAGCCACATGATTATGAACACCCAACCGAGCGAAGGTAGCCCCCAGACGAAGCCGACGAGCATACGGGTAAGATGCTTGAACACGGACAATCGCATGATGCTGGCCTCTTGGAGCGAATTGATGATTCGCATGCCTCTTACGTACAATGATAATTTCGCCCAGCTGCTCACGCTATCGTGGGGTACGACGGCCAACGCGACAAAAAACTCGACCACCTGCACGGTAGTAATCATGGCGCCTACCCAATTCCTTACGGAGCCGCCGTCTTTGCGAAAGAAATAACCGCCACGCTGCTGGAAGTACCATATTTTGATGAACGTCTCTGCCACGAAGTAGATGACAGTTAGACCCTCAACCACGAACCACGCGATCGGACTAGTCTCGTGGTCGATGCTGATACCGAAGAAGACCAGACTTAGAAAAGACACCACCATAGTCATGCAGTTCATCAGGTCCATCTCGTCGAGAGTGAATTTCTGGCCACTCGTCATCATGCTGCGTTTGTCTATGAAGGCTCTGAAGAAAGCGCCGGGGATACGAGGGGCGTTCGAATTTCTTGAACTCGTGCCAATTCTCTCCCGCACGTTCTCCAAGAGATTATGTTTCTTCGCGCGGCTCACCACCTCCGCCAACAGCGGCCGCTTCGGGAGCTCCACCCCCTGTTCACCCTCTCGGGCAGCGGAGCCCGCCCGCGGGGCGACCGCCCGCGGGGCGCCCGCCGGCGCCTCCCCCGCGCGAGCCACGGCGCCGAGCAGCGGCTGGGCACCCAGAGCGCCGCGGGGCCCCGCCGGCCCCTGGCGCAGCGCGCGCGCCTCCGCGCGCAGCGCCTGGACCTCCTCCGAGATCTCGCAGTGCAGCCGGCGGGAGTCCCCCAGGAGCCTCTCGAGCTCCTCTTGAGCTCCTCCTGGGCGGGCGCGGCGCTCTGAGAGCTCCTCGCCCGCGCCGCCCAGAGGGGCGGCACCGGGGGCCGAGGAGCCAGCGGCGCTGCTGTTGGGGGCCGCCGGGGTCGCCATGGCAGCGTCGATGCGAATGGTTGGGCGCTGCGGCTTGTTCAGGTCAACTCTCTGTGCGCAGCCCTCCCCGAACGGCGGCCAAACAACTCCAGGGAGGACTAAACCTGCAGTTCGAGCCAAAATGGTCACGGAAGAGGCGAGAACGCGACTCTTCGATGAATTTCGCAGCCTTTTGGGCGACAGGTGGTCTAGAGGTAATCTCTTTGTTCATCCATGCCCCTGGTCCTTTCGGGGGCGAACCCTCCCCGTCCCCTCCCAGAGGTTTTTCGGGGGGTTTTCGCGAGGTGTCGGAGGCTCCTTTTTCGGCCAGTGGGGGGGCCAATGTTTGACACACCTCACGAGGATCGCGGCCGCCGAAGGGGGGGCGCACATCGAGGACCCCCCCTCTTTTGACCGACCGCCTCCAAAATGGCCCCAAGAGGCCCTCCAGGGCTCGTCAGAGGCCCCCAAGCGGGTCCCACGAGCGCCCCAAGAGGACCGAATGGGGGGCTCCAAGAGGCCCCCCAGAGGCCCCCAAGAGGCCCCCGAGCGGCCTCCGAGCCCAAGATGACCTCAACAATTGCTAAAGATAGCCCAAGCTGGCTCAAGATGGCTCCCAAAATGCTCCAAGAGGCCCCAAGACCGCTCAAAGATGTTTCGAGAGGGCCAGCCCACTCAGACGTTCCAGGGCTTCTGAATGGGTTGACTATGCGTGTCTGTTCATGTCCTCCCCTGGCAGCTTTCATGGTCATCATTCCTGGATGAGTTCGCGGGGATACGTTTTGATCGACGATCGAGTCCCTCTCCCGCCGCCCCACGACGATCGACGATCGAGTTTTGCAGACTGCGGGGCAGCAGTCACCGTTCCAATCAACATTCAAGAATAAATCCAGGGGTGGAGGGAGGGGCAAATATGCAGACATTGTTGGGGATCTTCCTATGTGTATTCTGGGCCAGGGAGCGTCGACTCCAGCAGCGTCAGCGGCAGATGACGATCGAGCTTCCAGACACTGTTCAAGTTGTGAATTTCACCAAACCACTTAACTCGAGAGCTCCGGATCATCTCTGAAGCCTTGGCCTCAGGGCCCAGTAAGCAGCGGAGGGGGACGATGCGGAGGAGGTGGAGGGAGAGGACAGCACCATCGAGTATCTGGCGACGTGCCTCTTTGCATTTCTGGAGCAGCTCTGTAACGACGATGACAACGACGGTTCTCTCCGACATGAGCGCGTCGCTTTTGAAGGCCTCCGCACCCACTAGCTCTCGACCCGCCCTTCCCACTGGAGTACTGCCTGGATGTCGCCATTCGCTCCTCTGTTGCTCGCTGCGGCGCAGCATTGCTGCGGAGATCAGCACGCTCGATGTTATGATTGAGTAAAACAGCTGCGCTGGGCTCGGGTTCCACCTTCCCTCAGAGCGGACGGGGTCTACAATCTCGGGACCGGCCAAGCACCGCGCGGCGGCGCGAGTGGCACAGTCAAAATCCATAGTAATGATGAGCAATGTTCCAAGGGTGCCCTTGCATCCTTACCGTGCATCCTTACGTATTCGGCCGCGCTCCCCTCGAAAAGTGCATCCTTATCGTGCGTCCTTACTATCGATTTTGACTGTGCGCCTGCGCAGCCCATGCTGCATTGGTCGTAGGGGGCCTCCTCTTCTCCTCATCGTTTCCTCTTCCCCCTCTCTCTCCTCCTCCTTCCTCGGTCCGACAAAAATCCGTTCGAAATAAGTCCCCGGGCCCCTCCCAGGTTCCAAACGCACCAGTTTTCAGAGCCGCGTCCAGCCGTGGCGACGAGGAGGGCACCCGATGGCCAGAAAGCTTGGAACCTCGATCATCGAGGCTCGATGTTCGAACCTCGACGTGATCAGGCCTTTTTCTGTTCCTCCGGCGGGCCGCATCGCAAAAAATCACGACGCCGGAGTTCAGGGGCCTCGGAGTCCTGGCTCGTCGTCGTCGTCGGGGGGGGGGTCCAGGAAGGAAGCCCAAAGGCAAACCGATGCCGACGTCCTTCCCATGACTTCGCCTCTTTCTCTCGCCTCCTGGGTGAGCGGGGCGGGCACCGCCCACGGCCGAATTCGTCCCCCCAAAGGTTCCCCGAAAATTTCGGGTTGATTTTAAATAGACCTGGGGCCCGTTGGGGGGTTTCGGAAGCCGAACATGAAAACAAAACAAAACAAAACAAAAAATCCGCATCGAAACAATCACGACGCTGGAATTCTGGGGCTTCGGGGTCCTGACCATGGCGCCCCTGCCCCGAAGAGAAGTCCTGGAGGCTCGGTTCCACGGATATGCTGGCAGGTGACGATGATGATGGCGACGACGACGATAACAGTGATGACAACGGGGATGATGATGATGGTGATGACGATAATTATTATGATGATGATGATGGCGATGATGATGATGGCGATGACGGTGATACTGATGATGACGACGACAATTATGAATATAATGATGAGCATTATGAGCCTGATGATGAGGCAGATGAGGATGATGATGATGAGTCCTATCACGA